TGACATCCATATTTAAAAAGCAGTTTATAAGCCTTTTCCAGGAGTGATTGAGAGAAGGAAGTAGGTGATCCCAGGATCCCTTTGAAGGTTCTGTACTGCTAAACCCGGGTAAAGCTGATTCTCCAAGCTCTCTGTGCTTTACAGTCTGATCATGGGAAGCACCTGCTGGGAGTGCTGCGGGCAATTCCAAGTACTCTCCTATTTCCAGAAATGAATTTCAAGTCCATTCCTCAGTTCTTTGTTTGTTGCTTTCCTAGAAATCAATCTCTCAGCGAAGGGGGCGTGCATGCGCACGCTCACATTTTCAGCAAACTGTTAAAGTATGTGCAGTCCACCACTACATGTGGTATGAGTTTTTCTCCATATTAATTCTTGTAAGCCCCCTTGTTTGAGATGGTCAGCTACACAAACCAATTAAAGTTAATAAAACACAATCTGAGATTATTCTGATACAAAACAGACTCTTAATTGTGAAGTTTCAATATCAACTGTGTCTACTTCCACTTCCGCAGTTTGCTATAATCCAAAACCACATTTGTCTAACATTTATAAAGCACAAAGAGCTATATATTTTATGATCCTAAATTTTCTCAGAAGAAAAGTATTTTAACATTTAAAATAAAAAATGAGATTTTTAACATTAAAATAACTTGAAACAGAATGGCAGGTCTAACATTTGATTTGATTTGATTTGATTCTGCCTGAATCTGGGTGGCTCACAATATACAAAACAAGATAAATAATAATACTCCAAGAGACATCATGCAACAAACCTAAACTACTTCAAAAAGTTAGAAAATTCATACAGACTGTTTTAGGAGAAAATAGAAAACTACAATTGGTGCAGAATATTATGGTTAGCAAACCAGAGAATTAGTTTCTGCATATACAGAAACATGGAGGGAAATATACAGAAACTGTTACAGAAACCAACGGTTGAAGCATTTTTTAAGTCCTGGTAAATAGTATTAGGAAGAGCCTTGCACTGGTTCCTCTCTGACTGACTTGAGATATAAGAGGGGGAGGAGGAAAAACACAATCAGTCTTGCAAGATTCTAATATTATTGCCTAGCTCAATAAAACCTTGTTCTAGCCTTCTTATGGAGTTTGTTTCCTAATCTGGAAACCTTGAACAACTAACATTGCATTGGCAACAAAACAAGACATTTTATTTATAGATCAGCTCAAAAACAGTAAGAAAAAATGTGAAACACAAAAACCATAGTATAAGCCAGTAATTATAAAATTGGTGTAGTCAAGATGACAAACACTGTAGTAAAAGAAAACCATTTGATGTGCTGGCTCCCAATTAGCTTCTGAGCCCAACTCAAAGTATTTGTTAAAAGCTTGAATGGCATCTGTCCAGAGCAGTGGTCACCAACTGATGGGCCGCGGTCCACTCGTCCACGAGAAAATTTTGGTGGTCCACAGAGAAATGTCACCCCCAAAGCAATTAATCCAGGCTGCGTGGGAACACAAGGCTGCACCACCCACATGGCCTGCAGGAACACAAGGGCTTGCGTCACTTGCATTGTGAGCAACAAGAGGTAGTGAGGGGAGGGAGGAAAGGACGGAGGAGGGGAACTTGCCCCATTCGCTCCATGCGCCTTGTTTGGCCACTGGGCTGCTTCTTTCCGCTACTTTCTTCTGCTTTTGGCTGCATGGAAGGAAAGCAACAAAAGTCTTTTTTTCTCTCCCCCAAACTCCACCAGAAATAAGTCTTGGGACCCTGTAAGGCATTCTGTTCCAAGAGGGTGTGCTGGCAAAGACTTATTTCTGGAGTTTGGGAGAGAGAAAGAAAGACTTCTGCTGCTTTCCTTGCATGAAGTCAAAAGTCTCCACTCCCCCCGGAGAACAGAGCTGGGAACGGTAAAGAATGATCGATCGGTAGGAAAACAGGATGGGGAATTTTCCTGCAGACTTTTTTTGGGATTTTCCCAGGGTCTCTGCAGACAGAAACCCTGGGAAAATCCAAAAGAAGTCTGCAGGAAAATCCCCCACCCTGTTTTCCTACCGATCGATTGATCTTTATTTGGGATTGCAGAATACAATGTCTCTCTCTCTCTCTCTTTCCCCCTGAGAATGAAGCTGAAAAGCAGGTTAGGATTGTGGCTGCCTTGGAGGATGTGTGTGTTTTTGTTTGTGTGTGTGTGTGTGTGTGTGTGTGTGTGTGTGTGTGAGAGAGAGAGAGAGAGAGAGAGAGAGAGAGAGAGAGAGAAGAGCGTCACCACCAGCCCCCAAGATTAGATGAGATCCATTCCCCCCCCTTCTCTCTCTCTCTTCTCCTCCCCCCTTTCTCTCCTCCCTGAGAATGGGGCTGAAAAGCAGGTTAGGAATGTGGCTGCTTTGGAGGGGGTAGGGGTGTGTCAGGGACCTCTGTGTGTGTGAGAGAGAGAGACAGAGAGAGAACATCACCACCAGCCCTCCAAGGTTAGATTGGATCTTGATATCTATCTCTCTCTCCCACCAATGTCTGCAAGCCACCATCAGTCAAAACTCATATTAGTGGTCCGTGGGATTTAAAATTATGAGTTTGGTGGTTCCTGAGGTCCAAAAGGTTGGCAACCCCTGGTCCAGAGCATAAATTCAAGCAGAGAAATTGCTGAAGGACCTGTCCCATGATAGGAACCATTGGCCCAAAAGCAACCTCTCTCTATAGAAGCCCCTTGTTTTGAAATACTTTGTTTCCAGATTTGTATCAGGTATCATTAAAATCATTTTAAAAATCCTATTTCAGTGGTGGGATAGTTCAGCAATTATAGACACTGAGCTTGTCATCTGGAAAGCTGACAAACTGGGTTTGAGACCTGAGCGCCGCGTGATGGGGTGCACTCCCATTATTTGCTCCTGGTCCTGACAACCTAACAGTTTGAAAGCATGCCAATTGAGTAGATAAATAGGTACCACTTGAGTGGGAAGATAAAGCATTCTGTGCACCTTGGTATGACCACAGAAATGTCTTCGGACAATGCAGGCTCCCTTGGCTAAGAAATAGAGATGAGCACTGCCCCCTAGAGTCATGCACAACAAGATAAACCTTTATCTTTATTTCAGTGGTGACTAATTTAGTTGTTTATTTGACTATTTGATACTGGACTGACTTCTTGTCATTCTCTTGATGTTGACCCACATATTTGTTTTATTTTTAATTGGTCAACTTTCCAGAGTTTTTAGAGTTAGAGGTTTTTTTTAAAATAAGGATCTAAGACTCTAAGAAGAGAATGTTTCCATTGAATTTTATTGTTCTCCATGCCCTATGAACAAAGTTAGTTTTTAACTCTAATAATTAAATGTAAAAATATTATAGAATATTATAGAAGGAATGTTATAATTTTATAATTCTCTGTAGTCAGAATGTAAAGATGATGTGATGATATGTGTGCATCACCTTGGTAGGACAAGTGGGAAAGCTGCCACCTAGGAAACAATTAGGCAAGCGCCTTTGGGAAGGATTTGCCCTAATTGGTTCAAATGGTTAAAAGTAATATCAGGAATTTGTTTCTTCAGATTTGCAAGATTGATGTCAGCCCTGTCAGATAAACCAAACAGGAAAGCTAATTTTATTTTATTGTAAAGGTACATTAACAGAATTGTACTTATTTATGAAGGAGATTATCTTTTATCCATGATATTTGGCTACAAAATGAACATTGCCTGCAAAATTAACCATATTATGAGAAATATGACAAACAGACCTCCAGACTTGTGGAAAGTAATGGATCATTGTTCTATGTTCCAGTGTTCAGATCTTCAGTTATGAGTGTAATTATAGAGAATAAGAAAGTGAACTTAATTTTCTAAAATTTTCTAAATATAAGTGAACAATTTTCTAAAAACCCCAACTTTCTGATAGATAATATTGAAACACTACTTGAAGCAAACATTTATGTACAAATATTTCTTTATAGAAAATACACGTCTTTTGGCTAAAATAATAGTTATATCATGGAATATATACATGGAACTTGAAATGTATCTGAAAGCTTCAACTGGTGCAAAATGCAGCAGACAGCGTGGTTTTTGCAAGCATAGATTTGCACATGTATGACCTGTCAAGGTTCTGATTGACAAACCCAAATGAGTCAGCACTCTGAGACTTTAAATTTCTACAAAGAACCACTTTATTGTACTTTTTGGCACAGATGATCTTAAAATCAGCTCTGGCTATTTCCCGCACTTTCAGTACAATTAAAGATTAGACAGCTCCCTCCCACCTTGTCACAGGTCATCCAATTAGGTGTTCTGGAGTTTCCTTGGTAACCTCTTCCATTCCCTGTTGGAATGACCTTGGTTCCCATGAGATAGGAAGTTGTTGACGTCTGGTCTGAAATTCCAAAGCTCCCTCCTCCCTCCAAAGTGTGTCAAGCTGAGAAATGGAGAAAATTGGCTGTGACAGGCCCAATCTGTTTCTAAGTTGACTGTCGGATCCCCTTAATGAGAAACACCTGGAAAACATCAAGCATAAACACACATTAGCAGTGGCTGGGCTCCCCCTGACTTGGGGGAGGGCTTCCTGGTTTCTGGGGGTACTTCTTGTGGAATTTTTTTTATTAACGGTCTGCTTTCATATCCCTTGCCTTCATCCATCTAGCTTCTGCTAGTGGATACCCTTTCTACAGGACTAGGAATTGAAGTTTACCTTGGAATCCAGGACCCTCTTGACTTCATAGTGGGTTTCCCCCTCCACCACTATTGGAGTTGGAGCTAACTTTGCTAGTGGCCTTGAGTGGACTACAATGAAACACTGGGTGCACTTTCTCTAACAAATGTGGCAGTTTCAATTCTACTGTCACTGGGTTTATTATTTTTACTATTGGGAAAGGTCCTATGAACTTCGGACCCAGCTTCCTACAGGGTAGTTTCAATTTCAAATATTTTGTATAGAGGTAGACCTCCCCAATGGGATGACCGTCTCTTATCTGCCTGCACCTTCTGCATTTCTGTTGTGTTAGCCAGTGCTCATTTTACATTCCCCCCACGCACTTTGTAAGGAACCCACCCATTCTGTTAGGCTCACTGAGGATGGGGGTTCCCGTGGGTATTCTGGCATGGGGACAGATTCCACCCCGCTATTTTAAAGGGGGTGAGTCCCTTATTACTATGCAGTGAATTATTGAAGGCAACTTCAGCAAATAGCAGGAGATCTGCCCAGTTAGATTGCTAATAGTCAACATAGCACCTCAGGTATTGTTCTATCATTGTGTTAACTCATTCTGTGGCTCTGTTCATACTCAGATGGAAGGCGGAGCTAAGCTGATTGAGATGATGCAATTAACTTAATAAACTCCCTCCAGAACTTCACAGTAAACTGAACTCCCGGTCTGAGATGATCCTTCTTGGCATCCCATGCAGCCGATAATTGCTGTTCTGAGGCTGGTTTCAGCTACTCACCTCCTCCAACCTCCTCACTCTGCAGTTCAGCCTCTCCTCCAAGACTCCAATGGGGGAAGGAGGGGAGACCGCTCCTTATGCTCATCTTCTCTCTCTGCCACCATATGGTTGGGCCCCAACAAGGCCCGAGTAATGAGGTGAAAGAGCTAATCACTCTCAACAGCCCCTATTCTGATACCTTTTTGCAAAGACCTGAAGACATGGTTCTGCCAACAGGCCTCGAGACCCAAGAGTGATGTGTGGATTATCTGACCTATTGCCAGGAAAAGTGGAGGGTTTATAGATTTTTGTATTGGGGTTTTATCCCTGTGAGCTGCCCAAAGTCATCAAGAGTGACTTAGGCAGCCATATAAATGTTTTTTAATAAATGAATAAATAATAAAGGCTTGCATACTGATAGATAGTCATCATCATCACCATCTTAAATTTAACTGCAACTCAGTGGCTAAGATGCTCAGCTTGTTGATCAGTTCAGTGGTTCGAATCCCTAGCACCGCAAAACGGAATGAGCTCCTGTCACTTGTCCCAGCTTCTGCCAACCTAGCAGTTCGAAAGCATGTAAAAATGCAGTAGAAAAATAGGAACCACTTTGGTGAGAAGGTTATAGCATTCCATGTGCCTTTGGCGTTTACTCATGCCAGTCACTGACCATAGAGACATCTTTGGACATTGCTGGCTCTTCGGCTTTGTAACGGAGATGAGCACTGCCCCCAAGCCGGAAACAACTAGCACGTATGTGCGAGGGGAACCTTTACCTTTACCTAATAACAAGGGCATTTGGAGATCCAAAAATGAATTAAAATGGTAATTGGTGAGCATCAGAATAAGCTGTTTATTTCAAGTACATAATTTAAGATTCTGAATATGAGAAGCGGCCATTGTTTAATAATGTCAAGAGTGGGGAAAATACCATGGACATGATCTTGAGATATGATGGACATGAAAGAAAAGCTGAAGAGTGAAAAGAACTAGAGTGAATGTAGAATGTCTACAAGAAAAGAAAATATAAGATCTATATGAAAATGTATTAAACAATAAGTTAATCTCCCAAGAGAATGAAAAGTAGATATAAGGAAAGAGGGTATAGTAACTTCTTACAACACAGTAAATATTATGTTACTACGTGCCACAGAAAATATGAAGAAAGATGCTTGTTGGCATGTCAAAAAGAAAGACTGTGGATGAGTAAAAATGAGAAGAAATTAAGCAGGAAAAAGAGACAGAAAAAGCTAGTTAAATAATGTAATGAAAGAAAGTGAGGAATAATTACAAATTATAAAATAAAAGAGGCAGAGAAGATGTAAAGTAATTTTGATAGAAATAAAAATTATTTTATAAACTATATGATAAAATAAAGGACCTCCAGGCACTCATAACATGACTTAGTGGTAATTAAATGAATTCAAAATAAAAGATAAAATGGCTCTGAAGTGAAAAAAATGTTGTAAGAAGCATTTCAGAGATTTGTATGGGAACAGTATTGTCATCTCTGCCAAGAACTGGATCTTTTAATCAATAAATCAGGCTACTCACACTTGCAGTTGTAGAATTTATTGCTGTATTGCCAATTGTGGCTAAGAGCTTCAACAACGGATAACCATGAAAAGTCAGTGTTGAAAATAGTTAACTCCCAATAATGTTTTATACACCCCTGCCTAATTACGTAGCATCCGCCCCACTCTAACCCACCCATTACCTAATTATCCATGCCACCACCCCTTGCCTAATTAAGCCACGCCTAGGCTAATATAACTTTCCTCACTCCACCATGCCTCATTAGTATCCCAAACAATTATCAATCTGCCTCACACCCATTAAAGCTGAAATCACCCATAGCTCCACAGTTCAAAACAGCACCTGTCTGTAGATTCGGAGCCCCGAGGCTGTCAAGGAGGCTGCAGCCCTCCCCCATGCCAAAGCTGACATTGCGGGCTCTACGCTGACGCTGCGAGTGACTTCTGAGATACACAACCCTGAAGTTGTGAAATGTCATCCACAGCCCTCCCTCACTCCGCAGCTGATGCTGCGAACCTGACATGAGGATCGGAGGTTTACAGCTGCAAGGCTATAAAACGTCATCAGCAGTCGTCTCTGCGAATCCGGAGCGGCTGCCAAGCTGTAATGTCAGGATCAAGCTACAGATCGGGGATTCACAGCCCCAGGGCTGTAAAACATCAGCAGCAGCCATCGCTGCAAGTCCAGAGTGGCTGCCAAGTTGTAATGTCAGGCTCCAGAATGCTGGTAAGATGTAGAGCCCGACATGCTGCCCCCTCTACCATGTTTCCAGCCTGGAAGGCAATTAACAGAATTAATAACATTCTTACAATAGTTTTTGTCCCTCCTCCCCGCCTTAGTAGGATGTTGCCGATGAAATAGTCTTTGCAATTGTGGGGCTGACACATCTGCAGAGACCACCCAGGAAGCATCTGCTTCTGGATATCCTTTCCATTTCACCAGGTATTGTAGGACCCCTCATTGTCAGCAGGAATCAAGGATGTCCTCTACTTCAGGGGTCCCCAACCACCGGGCCGCAGACCGGTACCGGTCCGTGGAGCACTCTGTACCGGGCCGCAAATAAAAAAAAATAAAAAAATGGCGGCTTTCTTCGCCTTCGGTGGATGCTGCTGGGATCAGGGATCAAGGACACAAATGAAAGAAGAGGAGGGAGGAAGCAACCAAAGCCTGTCCTGCTCTCCGGCTCAGCGGCTTCGGTTTCCTCCCGCCTC